AAATAGAAAGCGATTTTCTTTGCATTATTTTCTATTTTCCTTTCTATATATGGTGTTAACTACTTTTTTGTTCGTTACTATTTATCCATTAATTATTGGTGTGGTGTGGTAGTTAGGAGAGGGGGTGCCAGCTCAGGTGTCGTTTGCGTTACTTGACCATGGTTCAAAATTACGCGGACCGTCCCAAAAGCCCTCGTGTAGCTGAACAGTGGGACGTTAATCTCATCCATTACTAAGTTTAATTATTCTAATAAAATAGTATAGTAATAAAGAAATCACATTCTCAGAAATTATGCCGTCAAGGGGGGATTTGAACCCACGACCTTTGGATCAGAAGTCCAACGCGTTATCCATTGCGCTACATGGACACAGCGAACGATTTTGCTTTCTATATATACTGTCGGACTCTTATTTTTGCTTGTTACTATTTATTAATTTTTTAATTAAATTAATGAATTAATATTTGAAAAAAACTGTATTAACATCAATTGTCATTCACTATAAGTTTAAAAAAATATTTGAACTTGAATGTGGATGAATAGAAAGTATTTTATTATGATTGAAAAAATTTGAATAATATATATATATATAGGGAGGGTAAGAAATAATAGTAGGAATTGAAAAAAATAGCATAGATCCAAGATAATGCTTCGTTAAAATATATGGTTACATCTTTAATAAACCATAGAATAATTATTGTTCTGATACTACACAAATACGCTTAAAATATATGAAATTTTATTTGGTTTACACATATTTAAATTTCTATAATTTAACAGCAATTAAAATTTTTAAGTTGGGGTTAGTGCATAATGCTTTATGATATACTTGTTATAAAATAGAAAACTAATTACGCTATATTAGTTATAACAAACGATACTTTGTTATTACTGGATAACATGGCAAGTTTCCTCTTAAATCAAAGGCAAGACAATAAAATTGTAACTGTTGATAGAATTGCTTTTTTTGGTGTTTAATTATCATTATCTTAAGGAGACACAGTACGATGCAATTGACAGAAATCGGACAAAAAATCAAATCTATTTTTTTAGCCGAAATTATTCTTTATATACTTTTTTATAACCTCATAAAATTTGAAAGCTCCAAATTTAAAAAACGCAGAATTAAGACAGCGTTTACATTCGTTTTTATTCACATCCCTATGGCAAATCAAAACTTAAAAGAAACTTATCTCAGAGAAAGATAAAATAACTTGTTTTTCTTCATTTAAAATGCTAAGGTATTTTTTCTATTGTGCCTAATGCTTTGAATTTGTGTTTTTAACTATTACTAGTAGTACATGTAGCAAAAGTCGGTATGCATGTTTGAATCAAAGCAATAACTTATTTTTTCAAAAATAATTGAACTCAGAATTTATACATTTTTAAGGAATTTTCAATAAACATTCACAAAAAGAAGTATTGTACGAATACCAATCATGTTATCACAAAACTCATACCGACTTTTGTTATGCATAGTTTGACGTACTTGTAAATCAAATTTCATGCATGAACGTAAATTTTTGTAAGAGTAGCATTTTAAATTCACTTCACAAATTTTAAATTTTTTCCTTAAAGAATTAAATGACTAGCCTTTAATGAAATTTTGAGCACACAAAATCTGTTTTACATAGTATACACACATAGGAGGCAACCAAAAAATTGTTGAAAATCCTTAAATTAAAAATTTTTGCGCAAATCGTACCACATTTCTCCTTAAACTCAAATATATAATTAAATTTTGCTATATATCTAAAGTTATTATCTATCAAATCCTCTTTAACGAATGAATTACGATTGTAAGAAAATGTTTTCTCTCTTTTTCTCTCTCTATAAGATTCTGAGAAATAAAAAATAAGTTTGGAAGACTCTTTTTTCAAAATTAAAGCTCTTTTCGGCAGTAATACAATACGTTTTTAAATTTTGTACCGTGAAAGCAAACCATTCCCTGTCCTCCAGCGCTTCAGAACAAAATAAAAATTGATACCTTCCCACGCCCATTCATGTTCTACATGACAGATTATGCTTTAAAGAATGCTGACAGAAATCAAGATACCCAAGATTGATCGTTGGGTAATCGATTAACTACGCTATTCATTGAAAACATTTCCTATTTCAAAGTAAAAATAATACACTAAATGAGTTCTATTCTTGGGTAATGATAATTTTAACACTTGTTCATTCGTTATTGTTTAAGTAAAAATTAGCAAGATGATAATATGTTCAGTCGTACCTTTTTCGTGTACATTTTCTACACCAATTCACAGTATGGGATAATTACAAATTTAGAGTATGGAGTTTATTAATATTGGAAGCACTGTGAGGGCGATGAATTATATAGAAAAAAATATTATACTTACGAAACTAAATATTACAGGCCAAAATATTGTGATTATTTTGTGTGAACAAATTATAATTTCCATGAAACAACTAATTTCCACTATATTCCATCCAAACAACGTTAAGCATGATATTATTCTAGAGATGACGCTATTTGCTTAACCTATTAGTAACATTTTGGGCACTGTCTGAAGGATCAAACAAACAAATGTTACAATATTTTCATCAAAACATTTTTAGAATATTATTTATCAGAATTGAATCATTCCATAACTAGATAGAAGACGGAACTTAAGGTATCCGACTACTTGCGACAACTTTTTATTTAAAAAAAAGGAGGTATGAGGATTTTTTTGTTGTTTTTAGATTTGTTTAGATATTTTAAGAAAAATATGCTAAATTTAAGAAGATAAAAAGAAATAATTTTTACTAAAATGAGAAAAAATTGGTAAAAATTTACAAAAGATAACATAAACGGGGCCATTCTGTATCCAAATTTTATGAACAAACTTTCAATTTTGATAAGTTGCGAAGTTGTTCATTTTTGAAATGACCTTTTGGATAAGAGATATTTTAATTTTTTCAAAAACTAGAGCCCTTTATCTTAGTTATTATATGAAATTGCTTCAAAAAACTGATTATACTAACATAAGGAACTGTGCATTTTGTAATGAAACAGTGATTGATAAATCTGAAGGTTAAAACGCTTCTACTATTATGCAGAACATACACAAAAAATTTAAGTTAATTATTTTCAAAACATTTTTAGCAATCGCTGGTCCGTTTGAGCATTAAAAAAACACATTTCGAGTAAAATGGGTTTTAAAGTATGATATTTTGCTTAAAGTAATGGCATCTACTTTTACTAAAACACTTGTAGTTTTTGTTCTAGGGAAAGGAAAATAAAAAGCTTGGAATTTTTATGAAGTTAATAAGATGGCCTATAAAATAAATCATAAAAAAATGTGTCAGTGTTTGACAAAATTCACAATTTTAGGGTAGGGTCTTAAGTTATTCAACATTCAGTAATGTTAGGGCTTATAGTGAAGTAAAATTCAAAGCGACCCACTCCATATTTAGTTGCATTTTAAGATTTCAAGGAATAAAACATTCAAATTACAATACCGCATCAATTTTACGCTTGCATTCTGCATTATTATTAGAGGAAAGTATTTCAACCTGATGCAACTGTAAAATGGTTATAAAATGAAGGATTTTGTACTGTCTGCTACCGATGATTGCATCAAGATCTTATTTTACACTTTGATTCCATTTGTATGTTTGTAACCATCAAGCAATCCAAACTTCAAATAATTAATCATGAAGCAATTGATTGTATTAACATTCCGAATGATTTTTTGGAAGTTGTTTTAAATCCACATTCGTAATTTTATGTTTGTTGAAAAAATATATAAATATATACATTATTGCTTAACTTTACCTATAGAATGAATCAATGCAATTTTTTCAAAATAAAGTAAGAACCTTTCAAAGATATAATTTTTTTAAAAATCACAGTTTTGTTGGATATATTTCAAATTTTAAAGTCCATTTGTGGATAGTTTTAAGCTATTACTCTATCTACCTACTTAATCGCTTACTCTGATTATTTTTTTAATGTTATTTAGGTATGAGGATCTACGTTTCTTAAGTATATGTTTATCACTAATGAGTAATTAAAAAACTTTTTTTTGAATAACACACACACATACACACACACACACACACAAAACTCCCTTTAACATTAAAAAAATCTTCTTAATGAGGCATTTTATATTTTTGTATTTTATATCGAGAATAAATTATGCGCATAATGTATTGAAATTGTTTATTCAGTTTTATACAAAAAAAATACATTAAAAATGTATTCTCTTTTCAGGTAGTTGACAATTGCATAAGAAAAGGCTTCTTATAGAAATCTATTTGAGACGAGTCTGTCAGACAGCTACAACTCTTCAACTTTCTCAATGTTGGTGATAAAAAAGGTAAGCTTCTTTTTCCATGTTTTGTGCCAGGTGTTAGTATTTCTGAAAACTCGCACGCACTTGTTCTTTCCACGTCAGCTAATTATTTAAATATAATGTTTTCGAAGAGAGCCTCATTTAAACAAAAAAATAGCCTCCTAACTTATATGCTAGAGCAGAAAATTAGCAAAACTTTATTAACTTCCACATTGTGAGTTTTTCTCACTCATTCAGGATTAAAATATCTTAATCATGCAAGAGAATAATACAATTTAGTTTAAAGATATGTAACAACGTAATATCTAAGCGAAACAACACCGTGACATTTAATTAAACTTTAAAGCACTGCGACTTATTCCTGTAATTATTTATATAAAATTTTAACTAATTAACTATCGTGACAAGACAGTAATGTTTTCTGGGAAAAGGTGGTTTAATTTATGAAAAAATACACTTCTCTCTCGTTCTCTGTAACATATTCTGTAAAACGAAATATTCGCGAGTCTATTAATTTTTAAAATTATGCCAGAGATTAAAATGTGTGGATCGTGTTTAACTATATGTTGTCTTTAGACGAAAGTATTCTGCACGGAAATGCCAGATCAATACCACGACATTTAATTAAAACCTAAAATATGATGTATTCCTTTTATAGTTGATAAAATCTATTAAAAGGAAAGATACCCGTTTTAGTTTCTTTATTTTACTTTTTCAAATTATCCAACATGTTGTATTCTAAACTGATCTTCGCTGAAAATTTTTGTTAATGAGTTAATTTTTTCGTCGGGTGAGTTATAGCTCAAACTATAGGTTAATTTTAATTCAATAAAATAGAAGCTTTTTATATATAGCCTATATCCGGGGAGGGGGTGCATTACGTCGATTGCGATCGACTGGTGGACTACCAAGACATTTTGGGGTGACCACCTAAAAATTTTACCAGTTACTAATTATATACGGAAAATTCAAGATTGGCTGACAGTATGCAGACTATGCCTTTTACTGACTGCGAGAACAAAAAAACTAACTTTAAACAAAAATATTTTATTCTTTTAATATATTT